AAGTGAATCATTGGAAGTCGAAATTGGAAATAAAAGAAGAAAGCGCCCATTAAAACGGAATTAGGTTTTAATAGGGAATTGAAATTTGAGAATGTTGTTGATCAGTTAAATAGCATTGAGAGGAAAAAGATTTTTTTTTATAATACTGGGATCATTATGAGAATTTGAGGTATAGATATTAGGATCCAATAGATGACAGCAGTGCAACAATAATGGATGCAAGCTGCTGTTGAAATCTAAAGAAGAAGAAGAAAAAAGCGCCTATTTTCATTTAGCACATGCTAGTAGCAGACATGAAGGAGTTACAGTTACCGTTCGCAAACTACCGTAATCAGTTCAGTTAAATCTAAACTTGGCAACTTTTCCTTTTCAACCGTAATAAATGTGATATTCAATTGACCTGTTATGACTCAAATTTTGGGTGTCTGCCCCCCTCTGCTGCATCGCTGTGGAAAACCTGGAGCGGCAGAGAAATCTGTGGTTTATATGTGTATGTTTAGTGTTTTTTTAAAAAAAACTTTGGGGTTGCGGCTTATAGTCTGGAAAATACGGTATTTATTTCATAAATAGTGTTATTATTTATTTCCTGGATTTTTTCTGTGAAGAACCCAGAGAGGGTTATTTGATTGTGCTTTCTGGAAAACAATACATTTTTACATTTAGGCACTCCTGCAATCGTCACACTTTTTCTGTTACAAACCGACTCCGGCCCCCCAGCAGAGAAGGGAAAGGTTATGTGGCCCTCACAGAAAAAAGTTTGGGGACCCCTGGTGTAGCGCTTTAGCGTTAGCGGAACTAGTTTTCTAAGGTTAGCCTAGCTAACTTTTTAGCTTACATGGCAACGCTCCTGGAGCGCTTAAACAGGAAATCTGGGGACATTTTTAACCAAAATTAGGTTAGTTACAGTAGAAAAGTTACTGGAATAGTAAAATATTATCCCAAATATTATATAAAGATGTCATGAAGAGTTAGTGTTATGAAATATTTAGCCATATTTGAGGCACACAAAGATGATAAACTAATAAAATGAATGTTGTGTAATCATAAAATAAAGTTACTCCAGTCTTAAAAACAAACCCAGTTTACTGAATGTAACCTGGAAGTACATATAAAATACTTTAAGCCTCATTATTGGTTCACCTTGGCAACCTTCCTCCAGTTGAGACAATCAAAGAAGTAGTAGGTCCCTCTTTCGTAGGCGTTGGTCTTTAACGTGGGCTCCATCCCAGGCGCCCGCGTTATCCAAACCCGCTCCTCTTTATGATACCGCCAGTCCCGGTTAAAACTGGACACAGAAAGGCAGACATGCGGGTCAGTTCACAGCGTGCAGGCCAGCCGGGATCCCAGCAGAGGACGGCGGCCTTACAGTTCTACTGCAGCCAGCAGCTGGAGCAGATCTCCTCCGTTCATGTAGTAGAGATAAAACAGCAGATCTTCACCGTACCGAGACAACTTGATGGCTGCTAGCTGCAAACAGAAGGAAACCGGTCATAAAGATGCAGATTATACAAATCTAAGACATTTTGACAGGTTTTAAACAATGAATTTGAGTTGTTTTGCTGCGTACCTTGTCCCTTATGTGGATGTTGGTTAGATACTCTGACGGGACGTGAAAGTCTGCAGAGACCAACCGAAGAATTTAGAACTGATTCTGCAAAACGCTGGAAGAACACTAAAACGTGCTAATAAATAACTAAAGATGCTGAATGAACAAAGTGTTAGTTAAATATTTTCAGTTATAATTTGAGCACATTTACAATAATCACAGGTTTGTTGTCATGGAAACTCACCGATGTCCTGCGGCCGACACGGCGCCGACGCCCACGGAGACGCAAACTTAGGATACAGATTCCTGACAGAAACACACACACACACACACACACACA